GGAGGGAGGAAGGGAGGGGGGGAGGGAGGAAGGGAGGGGGTGAGAGGGATGGAGGGAGGAAGGAAGGGAGGGGGTGAGAGGGACGGAGGGTAGGAAGGGAGGGAGGGGAGAGGGAGGAGGGAAGGAGGAGGTGGGAGAAAGGGATGTGTTAGGGAAGATGGGAAGGTGTTAAAACAGACTCTTATTTCGTATTTCTAAGTTGTTGATTTCCAGTAGTATTAGGAGGTTCGAGTGGAGGCTGCGGTATGTACTCTGCTATCTGCTCCGCATCCCTACCCCCTCTTATTCTCTTTCCTTCTTAGTTATCTATTCCATGCTTCCTATCTCCATTATTCTTAACTCCTACTCCATACTCCAACCCTCACTACTCTTTGCACCATCTCCCCACCTCCCTACTCCGTACCCCCAACCCCCTCTGCTCCCCTTCACCACACCCCCTACCCGTCCATCCGCCTTCCTCTATACCCCTCTTCCCCTCTTACCCCTCTCCTCTCTACTTCCCTACCCCCCCTCCCCTCCTCCCTTAACACCCAACCCTCCACTAACCTTCTCCCCTCCTCCTCCTCCTCCTCCTCCTCCTCCTCCCCTCCCTTCCCCGTCACACGCTCATACAAGCACAGGCTGGCATCAACTTTCCCCGATCGCTGGCATTAAACTTTCCAGCGTAGTTCTCAACTTGAATTCTCAGCAGTAGCGATTCTCGGGAGAGAGAGAGAGAGAGAGAGAGAGAGAGAGAGAGAGAGAGAGAGAGAGAGAGAGAGAGAGAGAATGGGAGAAATGGGAGAGGGGAAAGGAAGAGGGAGAGGGGGGGAAGGAAGAGAAGGAGAAAAAGGGAGAGAGCGAGCGAGAGAAAGATAGGGAAGGAGGAAAGGAGGGAGAGAAAGGGAAAAAGGAGTGGGAAGCAGACAGAGGGACAGGAGAAGGAAAACTAAACAGTGGTGTCAAGGGACAGGGAAGAAGAAGGGAGAATACGAGAGATGAGGAAGGAAGGGAAAGAGAAAGAGAAGAGGAGAGAGAATGGGAGATGGAAAAGGGGGAAAGAGAGTGAGAGAGAGAGAGATTAAGGATGCGGAGAGCGAAGAAGGAAAATTCATATCAAAAGAAAGACGGAGATAGATTTCATTAGAAAGTTACTTGCGAAACAATTTACACGTAAAAAGCCAAAGTTAAAATGTCTGAGCATCTACGCAATCTGGCTCAGCTTCTGTTGACGCAGGAGGGTGATCAGTCAGCCATAAACTAAACGTGTTTTTAAGAGATTTGCGCCACAGTGCTCACTATATTTAACTAGCTGAGATCAGTAAAAAAAAATCCTTTTACATCACAAAATCACGCCAGTGGTAAGATCAGAGTCAATAGCAAGGATAATATATTCAACATTAAGTATTTTCTTTGTGCAGTGACAATATCGATTGGCTGGATGCAATATTTTTAAAGGAATTTTTTTTTTCAGGACTAGAAAAGTGTAGCTCGAAACGTCACTATTTTTTTTATATTATTTCCTTTATTTTTGTCTACTGCACACACCACATAGTATATACAGAATACATTTATGCATAGATAGAACCAGGCAGCCAGGCAGAGAAAAGACAGGGAGATGAGGTAGGGAGAGACAAAGAGAGGATGATGATAAGCCAAAGAGTCAGAGAAAGGGGGAGATAAAGAGGGAGAAAGAGAATGAGTGAATGGGTTTAAAAATGACCAACATTTCCGATTAATATCCCACATTCCTCATTGCTGGCTTTTGTGACCTTTTGCTGTGCCATTTACGTCATTTCATCTTGTGGGAAATGACGCCAGTGCGCGTGGTTATCACATCCCATGCTCATTTGGTGGAAAAATTAAAGAGAGAAAATGAGTGATAGAACAAATGAGACGCATACACATCCAGAGGGAGAGAAACTTAATGAGTAAAACAGAGAGGAAGAGGGAAAAATGAGAAAAGCAGAGAGGGAGGGAGAGAGAGAGAGAGAGAGAGAGAGAGAGAGAGAGAGAGAGAGAGAGAGAGAGAGAGAGAGGAGGGGGGAGAGAGAAAGAGAGAGATAGAAACAGAGACAGAGAGAAGCGAGAAAGAGGGGGAAAGAGAGAGAGAGAGAGAGAGAGAGAGAGAGAGAGAGAGAGAGAGAGAGAGAGAGAGAGAGAGAGAGAGGAAAGAGAGAAAGATGAGTTCACTATGACAAAAGTAGAAAAGGATGAATGAGAATAAATAAGTAGCACAAGAAATAGATTTCATGTGTTTATTTTTTTCACTAGGAATATATGATACATCATGTATGTCTGATCTAATCAAGATAAGTCCCTATGTAAAGAATTTCTTGCACTGTGAGGGTAATCATTCTCAGTCACACTTCCTTGTACGAGAGAGAGAGAGAGAGAGAGAGAGAGAGAGAGGGAGGGAGGGATAAATCGAGGAAGAGAGAGAGGGAGGGGATAGATCGAGAGAGAGAGTGGGGGGAGATTGAAAGAGAGAGAGAGAGAGAGAGAGAGAGAGAGAGAGAGAGAGAGAGAGAGAGAGAGAGAGGGAAAGATGGAGATAAAGATAGATAGATACATACATTGAGAGCGAAAGAAAGCGAGGGCAAGCGCCAACCTTCCCCATTAAGAGAGTGGCCAGTAACTTAAGGGGATTCAGCATCAACTTCTCGGGAGCCAAAGTTTTCTTGCATTAAAACTTTCCCTCCCCTCCCTCCCTTCCCCCCCTCCCCCTCCCGCATTGCCCCCCCCTCTTTCCACCAGTGTGTAAACAGCCTAATGGCCCTGGCAAGAGGACCACAAACAGCTTGTTAACATGGCCACGAGTATGACAAGGCGTTTGGAGATGTTGATGGGGGGAGGGGGAGGGAGTAGGGGGGCAGGGGAGGGGAAAAGGAGGTGGAGGGATAACGTAGGGATGGGGAAGGGTAGAAGGGTGGGGTGGGATGGAGGAGGAGGAGGTGGGGAGAGGTAAGGTAGGGAGGGGTAGGGGGATGGGGTGAAGGAGGAGGAGGAGGAGGGGGGAAGGGAGGGAATAGGAAAAGAGTGGAGAGGGGGAAGAAGGGAGAGGGATGCGGAGGGAAGGAAAGAAGGGGGTTTTAGAGAGGAAGGAAGGAAAGAGGAAAGGGAGCAGGAGGGAAGAGATGAGAGATGGGGCGAGGGAAGGAGGAAGGAATAAACGGGGGAGAGAGGGATAAAAGATCACCGAGCTTGGTTTTAATCTTAGTTTGTCTTTTTTCCCCTGATTCGTTTCTCTTTTTACTTGTTTCCATGCGTTTCTAATTAGGATAATAGCACTAAATATGTTATATAGCATTTGTGCTGTATAGCAATAATGATATTAAAATAATAACATTGATGACAATGGTAAGAAGATGGTAATAATTGCAATATCAATGATATAATATATAACAGAGAGGTAGATAGACAACATATAAACAAGAAATAAGGGAGAATGAATAGACTGACGGACGGACAGATAAGGCAAGACATCAAAAAGGCAGACATACAAACAAACGCATAGGTAGACTACAAACGGACTAACAAAGAAAGTTAAATAAACAGACGAATATAATGGCTAGAAGGACAGATAGAGAGACAGACGGATAGAAAGACTGACGGACAATAGATGATAAGAGACAGGGAAATAAGACAGAGAGAGAGAGAGAAAGAAAGACAAACGGAAGGGAGCAAGAGAAAGAGAGAGAGAGAGAAAGAAAGACAAACGGAATGGAGCAAGAGAAAGAGAGAGAGAGAGAGAGAGAGATAGGTAAGAACATCCACGCAAACAAAGACCAAAAACAATGGAAAAGAACAGACACAGAGACAAACAAAAGGAGAAATAGAAACAAAGCCATACCCAGGTATATAAAAAGGCATAGAGATCAAACGAAAAGATAACTAGCAGTTTGAAAAGCAAGAACAGAGGAGAGGGAGACGAGAGCTCATGGACCCAAAGCAAATAATCCTTCAATGACTCATTTTGTTCCCCTAAAAATATGCAAATGAGCGATAACAAGTGTGCAGTGTGCAAGTCACCCTTTTTTCCATCCCCTCTTTTTTTTAATCGTTTATTGATTTTTAATTGAGTGTGTTATCTCTTTTTCTTTCTTTTTTTCTGTTTTTATTTTTTTTTCTGCAATAACTTGTGATAAATAATGTAGGTGTGGATTAAGAAAAAATTGATATGTAAAGTTATTTTATCCTGTGGAGAAAAATAGGAAAAAGGGGAGAGTAGGAAGGGAAAGGATGGAAGAATAAAGAGAAAGAGAGGGATACGAAAATTCTAAAAAAGAGAAGAGAGACAGGAAAAATGGAAAATGAAACAAACAGAGACAGCGTAATGACAGTAAAGGAAAAAAAAACACTAACTGTGAATCAAAATCCACGAAAAGGCGTCGAGAGAGAAAGGAAAAAGCAAGAGAACGAAAGAGGGAAATGAAGAAAAATGGAAGAGTAAATAAAAGATTAAGATTAAGGGAGAAACACGAGAACCTTTAAAAAATAAATTAAGAGAAAACAAGAATAAAGAATGAGAAGAATAAGAAAAGAAGAAAAAGAGCCAAGACGTCACAAAAGACAAGGAAAAGATGGGGGGTTGGGGGAGGAAGGGAGGAAGGTCGGGTTATTGGGGTTGGGGTGGGGGTAATAGGGGGAGGAGGGGTTATGCGTTGCGTTGTGACATGGTATCGAAGATGGAACTTGGGGGGGCGGTGGGTATGTGGCTATTCGTTAAGCTGTGGATGCTTTTGCACGGGGAATGATCTCATTTTTGGAAGGAAAAGGTGAGAGAGAAATAGAGAAAAGAGAGAGGGAAATAGAGACAAAGCTAGAAAGAGCTAGAAACGGAGACAGAATGGGGAGCTACAAAGAGATAGAGAAAGAGAATTACGGACAAACAAATAGACCAAGAAAAGAGTTAAACAGAATAAACAGACAAAAAGAGGCAAAGAAATCAACAGACAAGGAAAAACCCAATTGAATGGCCGCCCTGTGTACTATTTTCCCCTTTTTTCCCCTTTCGACAGCCTCGGCGTCGGTGGCCTAAGGCGACGACACCGCCCCTCGCCCTCGTCGCCTTTTGACAACTTGGCAGGAAGCGAAAGAGACAAAGGAAGAGAGAGAGAGAGAGAGGAGGACAGGACTGCCAAGCGGCGTGCGGAGGTTTTCCGGATATAGGGTATGTATAGTGTACGATCTGTGGTGGTTTTGTAGTTTTGAATCTCTGTGGGCGTGTCTTTCTGGTTTCTCTCTCTCTCTCTCTCTCTCTCTCTCTCTCTCTCTCTCTCTCTCTCTCTCTCTCTCTCTCTCTCTCTCTCTCTCTCTCTCTCCCTCTCTCTCTCTCTCTCTCTTTATTTTTCCCTCCCCCTTCTCTCTCTCTCTCTCTCTCTCTCTCTCTCTCTCTCTCTCTCTCTCTCTCTCTCTCTCTCTCTCTCTCTCTCTCTCTCTCTCTCTTTCCCTCTCTCCCTCCTTCTCTTTCTCTCTCTTCGTCTGTATGTTCGAGGAGTTGTCTTTCAGTAGGGGTATGTTTTGTGTATATTGGTATTATTGTACGTATCCATAGTTTTAGTTTTATACATTTAACCAAATGTATCCATCTGTGTATATGTTTATCTTTGTATATACATATATTTGTGTATACTATCCGGGTATGTATATGTGTATTAGTGTACGTATTCATGTGTAAATATTTTTTCAAGCATTTATCCATTTATGCATCGACGCATATATATATATTTAGCCATGCATCTATCCACCAGTGAGAAGTATATGTGTGTGTATGTATGTATGTGTGTATCTGCAGTAGGTCACTGTTCCCCTTCGCATGCAAACTCAGGACCACCTCCCTCCCTCTCCCCCACCCCCACCCCCGTCCCCAACCCCGCAATCACGGAGTACGCGGAATAACCCCTTCCTGCCCCTTCGCTCAGACACGTAGCATACGAAAATTTTCCTCCTTCCCCCTCCCTCCCCAACCCCACTCAACCCCGCGGACTCAACACGCGAAACATTCCCACAGCCTCTCCTCCCTCTTTCCCTAACCTCTAACCCCACCCAACCCCACAGACCTTCCCGCAAACCCACTTCCTCCCTCCCCAATCCAACCCAACCCCCACAGATACACAGCACGCGGAACATCACCATCACCCTCCTCCCTCCCTTCCTAAGCCCAACCCCTCCCTCCCTCTCTCCCTTCCTAACCCCATCCCCTCCCTCTCTCCCCCTCCCAACCCCATCCCCTCCCTCTCTCCCCCTCCCAACCCCATCCCCTCCCTCTCTCTCCCTCCCAACCCCACCTCAACCCCGCAGATACAATGTACACGAGACATTCCCTGAACATGCCGCGCTGCGTAACTGTCTCGTGCACAAACCGAGCGACAATGGCTGTCCTCACGACCCCCCCCCCCCCCCGAGGCCTCTGTGACAGGTGAAATATCTCGGTCATACGCGCATTGTTGGTATGTGTGGGTGGGTGGGTGGGGGGATGTGTGTATGTGTGTGTATGTGTGTGTGTGTGTTTATGTGTGTATGTGTGGGTGTGTATGTGCGTGTGTGTTTATGTGTATGTGTGTGTGTGTGTTTATGCGTGTGTGTGTGTGTGTGTTTATGCGTGTGTGTTTGTGTGTGTGTGTGTGTGTGTGTGTGTGTGTGTGTGTGTGTGTGTGCGTGCGTGCGTGCGCATGTTTATTGGGAGTAAGTGGGGGTGACTGGAAGACGCATCGACGCGCCTCTCACTTCATCTCTAGGAGGGACGGGGGAGGGGAGGGGAGGGAGAACATGTCGCTAAGGGTTTCTCGTTGACACCACCCAAGTGATAGTGATGACGTGGTCTTCGTCATCATCACCATCATCGCCAGAGCATAACCGTCTGACTTCACCATCGCCGTCACGTTATCTCTCAGTGAACACGGTAAACGCACAGGGAAATGTCGTGATTTAAGCTCTGTCGGTTATTGTTCTCTCTCGCTTGCGGTTTCTCCTTTTTGCATAGTCCTCGTTTTTGCACGCGGCGGAAGCAATTGCAAGAGATATGTATCCTGGACCTCGAGAATGGTCGTCTCTCTGTCTCTCTGAACGGCTGTCTCTCTCTTTCTCTCTCTCTCCCTCTCTCTCTCTCTCTCTCTCTCTCTCTCTCCCTCTCCCTCTCTCTCTCTCTCTCTCTCTCTCTCTCTCTCTCTCACACACACACACACACACACACACACACACACACACACACACACACACACACATATTTTTTTCTCTGAATTGCTATTTCTCTCTTTGTCTCTTTCTCTGCGAATGGTTTTCTTTGCCTGTCTCTTTTCTTGCCTGTCTTATCTGATTGCTTGGCTCTTCCTGTTTCTCAAGATACTCCGTCTCGTTTTCTTCTCTCCTCTTGCTCTTTAGTTATCTATCCCTCTCCTCCCTTCTTTTCAGGCATCTGTCTATCTGTGTCTTTGTTTTCTCTCTTTCTCCCTTTCTCCCTCCCTCATCTTTCCTTCCGTCTCTCTTCCTCCGTTTTCCTCTTCATTTCATTCCCTTCCTCTCCTCATCCCTCTTCTCCTCCATCTCTCTCCTCTCTTCTCCCTTCATTTTTCTACTTCCTTCATCTCCCTCCGTCTCTCTCTTCCCTTCTCCCCCTCCCTATTCTTCCTTCCTCTCCCCTTCCTTCATTTCCGTCCATCTCTCACCTCCCTTCTCCTCCTCCCTGTTCTCCCTTCAGTTTTCTCCTTCCCTCATCTCCCTCCATCTCATCCCTCCTCCCTTCTACCCTTCTCTCATCTTCCTCCCTTCACCCTGTCCCTCTCTGCCTCCCCCCTTTACCCTTCCTACTCCCCCTGTATATCTCAGGGCGTCAACGTCTCCGGCCACACAGGAAGGGGAAGAAGGAGAGAGAGAGAGAGAGAGAGAGAGAGAGAGAGAGAGAGAGAGAGAGAGAGAGAGAGAGATCCCTCCCACCTTTCACTTATTAAACGGCGTCCATATCTGGTTCTCTCTACGTACGCTCTCTTTTCTGTCGCTGGATGGTCGTTGTGGCTGTCAGGAACCTCAGTCTGCTGCTGACGTTGGCAGAGTCGGGCGGTGCCTGTCGTAACGGCTGTCATCTTTGCAATTGTGTTTCCGGGATTTTTGTTGTATTCGCTTTTATCTCTCTCTCTCTCTCTCTCTCTCTCTCTCTCTCTCTCTCTCTCTCTCTTATACCTGTATCGTTCTTTTTTGTTTTTGTTTTCGTTTAAATTTTTGACTTTATCGTTCTTGCTGTCTATTTCTTCTTTTTTTATATATACATACTTTTTTTTCTTTTTCTCTTTTTCCCTTTTTCCCTTGTTGGTTTATTAAGCTCGTGGATCTTTAATATCTCCTTCTGCGTGTATGATGCCGCGAAACAAGATTATCTGCCCCGAGCACCCGATTGCAAGGCTGGTGTAGGAGGGCCAAGAGCGCCTGTTATTTCTGAGCCCTGTGTGATCCTCTTTCTGTCTGTATGTCTGGATTTGTACTGTCTCTTTTCTCTTTTTGTCTTTCTCCTCTGTCTCTCTCTCTTTCTCTCTCTCTCTCTCTCTCTCTCTCTCTCTTTCTCTCTTTCTCTCTCTCTCTCTCTCTCTCTATCTTTTCTCTTTCTCTCTTTCTCTTTTCTCTCTCTCCTTTCTGTTCGATATCTTCTGTTCTTTTCTCTTTTCGTTTTCACCCTTTCTCTTCCTTTCTCTTTCCGCTCCCTGCCTTTCGGCGCTATAATCTGATGTAAATGATGAAATCATGATACTTTTACCAGGATTGTGATGGTATTCAAAATGTTTACTCGCTGGATGTTTATTTGTGTTCGTCTGTGTGTGTGTTTATGTCTGCGTTATACATGCAAATGCAATGCATTAATAATTATTCCAATTACGGTTGTTGTATAATGTATTATTATACCTTCCTTCTTATTCCTGTTCATCAAAGATTCACGTCTGCTCTGCCTCGTAGGACCACTTCGTCAGAGCGGTCAGCTGACCCTGCCGGCATGTGCACAGGGCCTCTGTATGCATATCAACGACATTGTGTTAACTCTGCATCATCGCTTTTTATTTTTATTTTTTGAATGGTATTCGCAAAGCTATAAAGGTTCGACAGCTGAGAGAGGAACGTAGACGTCGTATGTGTCTTCTGTCTTTAGATAATGATATTCGGGGTTTGCGACTTGGTTGGCTGGAGCTAAGCATCGCGCAGATTACTATGCTGTCACTCGTCAAACCAGCGACTCTGTGTACAGTATGTATATATGTGTATATATATATATATATATATATATATATATATATATATATATATATATATATATATATATATATATTTATATAGATATTTATATATATATATATATATATATATATATATATATATATATATATATATATATATTTATATACATATATATATAATATACATATATATATATATATATATATATATATATATATATATATATATATATATATATATATATATATATGAACACACACACATAGCTATCTATATCTATATCTATATATATATATATATATATATATATATATATATATATATATATATATATATATATATATATGTGTATATATGTATATATGTATGTATACACACATATATCATCATCACCATCAGCCTGAATCAGTCCGCTGCAGGACGTAGGCCTCTCCCAATCTTTTCCAACTTTGTCTGTCTTACGTTTTTTGTTCCAGTCTTGGCCCTCAAATTTCGTTATTTCGTCACGCCATCTTGTCACTGGTCTGGCCCTTGGCCTCTTTATGTTCTCTATAGCCCAGTCTGTTATTTTTGTTCATCTGTCGTCCTGTCTCTGACATATATGACCTGCCCATTGCCATTTTTTTCTTTTTGATGTTACCAAGTATATCTTCCACTTTTGTCTGTTCCCTGATCCACGTCGCCCTCATCTGATCTCTTCAGCATCAACCTCTCCATCCCTCTCTGGGCACTTATTAGTTTCCTCTCCAGTAATTTGCTTGTAGTCCATGTTTGTGATCCATAGGCCATAACCGGGAGGATACATTGGTTAAAGGCTTTTCTTTTTAAACATAATGGCAAGGAGCCTCTTGGTATGCTACTGTGTCTACCGAAGGCGCTCCAGCCTAGACAGATGCGTCGATTAATTTCCTCTTCACTAGATGTGTTTGTATGTAAGAGTTGCCTTAGATATAT